TGTAAATAATTCTAACTAATTAACCATGTAATACCAAGCAGATGGCAATGTAAATGTTTATAACATGGAACTTGCATTATTTAATTAGTTAGTATATTTTTTTTATTGGAGCTTTTTTTGAGATAGCAACAAACAACTTTCATTAGCTTGCCAATCCAGTTGAACGCAAACTATTTCTCAAACCCAGTTAAGTTAAGAAGATATCTAGTTAATGTATTAATCTTTTATAATGTTTGCACAAAATCCCACTTCAAAATGGCTAATTATTCCTAGCAGTCTATTTTTAGCATTTCCAGTTAGCTTGCTAAAGAATGGAACTTGTTGGAACAATATATATAACTGATTAATATCTATTTTGTTAAGTATGAAATTTTGATGAGTTATGTATTTTGATGTATTATATATGAATGTTTATGTTTCAATTGATGGTTTGAATTGATTTTGTTTATGAGGGAGCAGATATGATAAGAAATTTTCTTCTTCTGCTTCCTTTCATTTTATATTTGTTTTTCTTTAATTTTTTGAAATTGTATTTGTGTTTTTATTGGAAATTAAATGAAATGAATAAATAAATAAAAATTTTTTAAAAAAAACGTGCTAACTTGAACCTCTAACCCAGTTCATAGTAAATGAAACTCAAGATCATGTTTCTACTTCACAAAAGGAGTTATCTTTACCAGAACCACTGAATTTAGTGTACAACCCAACTGCAACATGATGACAGCAAAGTATTCCAAATTAAATGTAAAAATTATCAACATACAAACATGGTAAAGCAAAATGAATGTTAAAGAATTTTAGAAAATGGTATTAGGGTTTTTTTCTGCATCAATGCACCTACCCTCAAGAACCAGCCAGACATGGACACAACCAACTGAACTCAATTAACAGCAGATGTAGCCATTAGTTTAGCAGGAGCTCTCTAGAATAATACCATTAGTTGTCTCCTAATTTTGTATATCGTTTTTCAACCAAACATCTCCCCTATTAATCTCCCCTATTAGTGTGAAGGTTTTTTTCTGTAGTTTTTCCATAAACTTCACACAGCCAAGTACAGACGGCAAGCTGCCAACCAACAAGCTCATAGCAGAACCTACACCAACGGAAAGCAAAGCATGCTGGAGCATGAACCGAGGGCACTTTAGATAAAAAGGAATGAGCTGTACATGAAGTCTTTGTGAACATGGTTGTACAGTACAAATAAAAAGAGTCTGACACAGTAGTGTGTTACTAGTGTGAGTTTTAATTTTGTGATGTGTGCAGTTAGATTTGGCTTGTGACAAACCATGTATCATGGCTCAACAAAGTTAAGTCAGGTCCTCAGGAGAGTTTCTTTTTGTTTAACATTTCATCTTTCATCCAAAAGACTTCTTCAGTCTGAGGAGTTGCAACAAACTCAGTCTTATAAATAGTACCTTACATAGTGGGGCGGCTGTGGCTGAGTGGTTAGAGCAGTCGTCCTCCAATGCGAGAGTTGGGGGTTCGAATCCACCAGCAGTCACATGCCGAAGTGTCCCTGGGCAAGACACTGAACCCCCCATAGCCTCTGATGTGTGTCCCATCAGTGTATGAATGTGATCTAAAAGCACTGATTAGTCTCATTAGAATGATTTGTTCAATTAGCTTTGTAGAGATTTAGTAGAGTGCTGTTTGAATGGGTAAATGAGGCACAGATTGTAATGTAAAGCGCTTTGAGTATTTTGAAATAAGATAGAAAGGCGCTATATAAGTACAGTCCATTTACCATTTACCATAGTGGGTCAACCAGTTTGATGGTGCTCATATGGTTTCTGAAGACTGTTTGTTGTGGCTCCTCAGACTGATGTCTTTCAGATAGAAAACGAAACGTTTCAATATAAAAAAAACGTCCAGAGGACCTGACAACGCTTTTTCTACCTGGATTATTGAGCATGAGCTTTGACATGTATCATAGTGTTCGAACATTCCCAATTTTTTCTGATTCTTCTAGTTCCTTTCACAAAACAGAAAAAAAAAAAATAGGATGGAATGTGTCATTCTGCTTTGTATAAGAAATGCACACAAGTTGTAGTTGCTGGCTACATTATTGCTATCAAATGACTATCAGCAACAACAAGTTGCAAAATATTCTCTACTCAGCAAGATAAATATTTATGACACCAATGATGTAATCAACCTTTTAGTTGTTTAACATCAAATCCGAGCTATCAGTTTAATGAATGACTGCCACATAACACCATACTGGGAACATTGCTCAATAAAATATATTAATTCAGCACTTATTGTGAATCCTAATTGTCCCTAAAACTATCTTCACCTGTGGCAGTTTCATAGTTACAAAAAACAAATGCACAAGAATATCTTAAACAATATTTCAGATCTCTGATGTAGAGATTGATGGAAAAATCATGGACAGTTATTATTTAACCTTTAAGGAGACTGACAGCAATTTAAACTTTTGTAAAATAGTGTCTGCATGAATCTCTATGAATGTTTGTAGATTGGAATTCCTTTATGATGGCATCTAAAAAAGTTAAATCTGGTCCTCTGGACATTCAAAAAAACAAAACAAAGCAAAACAACAAAAAAATGTAGAAACGTTTCGTCTTTCATCCGAGAGACTTCCTCAGTCTGAGCTGCTGTATTCAGCTCAGTCTCTTAAATACAGCAGCTCAGACTGAGGAAGTCTCTCGGATGAGAGACAAAACGTTTCTACATTTTTTTGTTGTTTTGCTTTGTTTTGTTTTTTTGAATGTCCAGAGGACCAGATTTAACTTTTTTAGATTTTTTCTACCTGGATTATTGAGCATGCATCAGGATATTTATGATGGCAGCAATCTATTGTGGTCTTGATCCCACTCAGGGTTAACTTGTCAATCCAATCTGAATTAAACAGTCTTTTCCAAACAGAATAGAGCTATCTATAACAGGTGAGATGCTATTTGTCCATTATTTTTCCACAGAATCCCACCTCTAAAGATCTGAATGATCTCTTTAAGTGCACGTTGTGCTTTTCCCTATTTTATAAAAACTCAGACTGACCTACTCGCAGCTCCTGACCAAAGACCGTCCTTTCTCCCAGTGCCGAGCAGTTCCACCGTCCATATCGGAACTGGTATTGACACTCATTGATGCCCATTTGGGCACCTTCGCCAACAACAATGATGGCGTCTGGGCGGCTCTGACAGATGGCCCGCTGGCGAGGTGCCAGCCCAGGAATCTTGTTGCAGATTATGTTGGCACCCAGAGCCACCACCGAGGACAGGGCCCTGCCAAGGCAAGAGAAACACTTCATCAAACACACACAGGCGTTCATCAGCACACAGTGACAGACACATGGACACTGTTTGTATCGTCATTAACTAAATGCTAGATAATCTTGTAATGCTTCTCGCTTCAGTCTTGCAGTTTTTAAAACATATTAGTCTAAATCAGACTGTTATTGTCCTGTAAAGTAAATGAAACACCCTTTTTATTTCAGAAAGACTACAACATATCTACCTACCTATTTGCAGTGGTGGGATGTAACTAAATACAAGTACTTCATTACTGTACTTAAGTATATTATTTATGTACCTGTATTTTACTTAAGTAGAGTAAAACGTGGGTAGTTTAGACGTTTACTCTACTACATTTTACATTAAGTATCTGTACTTTCTACTACACTACATTTCTATAATGCGTTGTGTTACACGTTATATTCATGTTGCATTTTTTTTATTTGATTGTTAGTTTGAAAGTAACCAATGGCAAGAGGAGAGTTGGTCCATTGCATCACTGCAAAATGGGCAGGTAAAGTTAAACCTGCCTCCAAGAAGAGCTGGGCCAACAATGTATATTCTAGTATATACGTCATTGAGCTGGGCGCACCTGCAGCACCACTAACACACCCAAAATGGATTCCACTGCAGAGAGTCAGCCAGAAGATACACGCCACCTATGGCCTTATTGACTATTGAAAGACTATTGAAAGACTATTGAAAGACTATTGAAAGACTACTCAGTACAGCAGGACAGATTATCTCTCCCAAAAGAGCCAGACTGGACTCCAAAAACTTTGAAAACCAACTTCTTCTGAACTTGAACAAGAAATTCTTTCTGCAATATTAAAATGTGTCAGTTCATGAGATGTTAGGACAGGAGACAAGAGATGTCTCCAAATGGCTCAACTGGAGTTGAAATGTCAGTGGAAATGATCAGAGCCTGTTCCTTTGTTAGGTCTAATGCCTCTTTTTTCAAGCAGACAACTTTTACTTAAACATGTTTAATGCAGTTAAAATGACACATTGGTTTTGCTTTGTGTTAAATAAAAATCTTTCAAAGGTATTATCATTCCTCTTTCTTATTTTGCTTAATGACATTTAACTCTGCATGTCATTCCTGAAATTCTGACGCACAGAATCACAAGTTCCAGTGTGAACTGTGTCACAGAGTAAACACAATAAAACATGTATTATCTGCAGCATTGTTCATTAAAATGGCTCAACATTAATATATTACAGAAAATATACATACGGTAGGCATACTTAATGATATTATAGACCGGTGGCCGCGGGCACCTGGTAGCCCGCAGGGACCACATGAGTTGCCCACCAGGCATGTTCTAAAAATAGCACTCATCATCAAGGAGCGCCACCTAAAAATCATCATTAATTATATATTTAAATGTAAGAAATAACATTTGCAAGGATGTATATTTGAAATGAAAATGATTAATACAAATTTAAAAAAGAAATAGGTTTACGCAGAGCCCTAGAGTATACAGTTTTGCTATCTTGTCTGGGGTCAAAGTTCAGAATCATGCGTAGACCACTCCCATTTCTGCAGCGGTGCAGCTACAAGCTAGTTTTACCTCCAAGAGGTTAAAATGGCAGAAAAATGTAAGAATACATATGTTCACAGTGACTGGGAGGAAGAGGTCTTTTTACAGTGTTGAAAGACAAGTGTGTCTGTGTCTCATTAGTGGTCTGTGGCAACAGCAAAACAACATGGAGTGACACTTCACCAGATAACATGCTAGCTTCAATGCTAACTACCCCCTGGTGTCTCATGTCAGAGATAGAGGCAGCTTTGAGCAAATGGCAGACAATTTTCATGAGGCATTTTCAGATGAGCTCTTGATAAAAGCAATGATGAAATATGTGAAAAAAATTTTCTTTAAAAAGAGTAAACAATGCAGTTAAAATGATTTTATATGTACAGCACTTTGTTGCAGCTGTGGTTGTTTTAAAGGGCTTTATAAATATAGTATTATCATTATTATTAAAAATGCTACAGATCTGAGGACCATTACTAATGTCACATGATTCATTTTTAAAATGTCAGTTTGTTTTTTACATTACTGATAATTTGTATCTACAAGTTAAGAGTTCTTCTGAAGGGTTACAAACACTTCTGTTGTTGTTGGTGCAAACAGGGCTTGATTGGAAGATTTCATTGTTAATAGGTTATTAAAATTTTTACAGTTGTTAATAGTAAAAGGCATATTTTGAATGAATGTTACAAATGTGTTTATTCGTACAAAACAGTTAATAAAATATTTATAAAATACAATGAATTTCAAATTTTACTGATTGAGATTAACATAAAAGAATGGTAATTTATGTTTAAATATCAGTTTTCTGCTGTAGTAAGTCATCCATTGTGTCCCCTTTGTTTAGGAGCCCATCTCCACTGCTTTTGGGTGAAGGCAGGGGGCACCCAGGACAGGTCTCCTGTCCATCACAGAGACAGACAAAGAGACAAACAACCATCCACAGTCCTAGTTACAGCTAGGAACAATTTACAGTCACAGAGAAGAACCAAAAAGGATTCCAACTGAGGACTCAAGTTCTCGATTGAGAGTTCTAATCATTAATTATCAATAATAATTGATCATATTTACCATGCCAAATTCTTACTGATAATCACTGTGGGGAGTTTTTAATAATACAGATCAGATCAGATGTGATCCGGCAGACATATATTCACATGTATGTAAATATATTATTAATACTATAATTAAAGGTGAGTCGTGCAAATTTGTTTGGATCGAACAAGTAGACCTTCGTGTCTCTCCGTCCCACTGAAGTAGTTCTCAGTCTCAAAAATGTTGGTGACCCCTGTTATAGACCATTGCATTAGGTAATACATTCAGCAAGTACTTTTACTTTTGATACTTTAAGTATTTTTAAAAGCAAGTACTTATTTACTTTTACTTCAGTAAAAACAATGTGGTACTTCTATTTTTACTAGAGTACATTTTTGTCTGTTAATTTGTCCTTTTACTTAAGTACAGTATTTGAGTACTTTCTCCCCAACTGCCCATTTTTTGTGAATATAAAGACATTTTGGAGATGACTTTGCTACTGAAGATAACAGCAAAATAACTCATGGTCTAAGAATGCTGTAACCCCCTTTAAGATCTTTATAGCCATTGAAACAAATATACACATTTTTCAAGTGTGCAAGGCCCTGGAAGAATGAATTTAACATGGAGGGAAAAGACCAGCTTTGAAATATGATGTTAACCTCGAAATGATCAACCACAAAGAAGGCAAACTAACGCAGACAAGTTGTGTGTCAGCGAAAAGCGATGGCAGACCAAAGAAAGGGTGGGAATGAACATACTGGTGAGGAGAAACAACACTCCAAAGGGGAAAGATTTAGGAAACATATTCTTGCGGATACAGATTCAGGATCACAGTAATTGTTTGGATACCACTGACTCAGAACAAGGATTTGGTAAGCCTGTTAAGAAAGACAGACTTATATTTTTGTTTCATGTGGTTGCTTAAGTCTCCCTATAAATAGTAAACAACATAAATTTTAATGTCAAACTCTTAAACTAAAAAAATAAAAATTCTAACGCCTGTAAGACTGTAACACTTTCTGCACTTATAAAAGTGCTTAATATGAATTAAACAGAACTTTTATAGTTGATTTTCCAGACATATTTCTAAAAATTACAGCTAAAACATATGTTTGTTTTATTCACATTAAACATGATATGTCTTGCCATAGATGAAGAATACCTCAAGCCAGGTGTAGATAGGGCACAGACACAAACCTTTTGTGGATTTCATATTCACGATGAACACAGCAGCCTGTTACTGCTTTCAGACCCTCTGTGCTCTCCCTGCTGTTAAAAAGACTTTAACTCCTCTGACCCTTTGTGACCCCCCATCCACACCCCCTCCCTCCTGCCTTATGTGTGGTTGTTCATGGCAACGATGATATCTAGCCTGTACAAACTGAAAGGGCTGGCACATTAAAAAAAGTAAGATGCGATTGGAGAAATTGAAAGTGGAGAAAGAACAATGAATGTTCTGACTAAACCAAACAGCCCTGATCCTGGATTCATTTTGTTTTGAACAAAACATACTAAACAGGTATGTTCAAGCACTTAACACCCTTCCTCTTCAACGTTTTCTAATGTCCTTTACCTGAATGCTCACAGGAACGCAGAAGCAACCTAAAATATCAAACACCAAACAGAGAATTCCTGACCTAGGCTTTTAAATCCCTGAATCATCAAAGTGCACAAATGCAATTCAATTTGCTTCCTGTACTCTGTGTGTATGGCAGCAGCGTGGGGACAGCTCATCCACAGGTTCAAAGATCTCCCATCTGATAGAGTGTACACACAAAGTCTAATGACAATGAAAACGTCCTAAACTCCTGCCTACAAAATATATGCAGATGGCTATAAAGAATGTACAAAACACATCACTACATTAAGTCACAAAAATAAACAGTTTTTTTTTAATAATCTGGACACTTTTTTATATTATTAAATGTGTGTGTGAGGCTCTTCCCACCTACTGGTGGAATTGAATTCAAAACGTTACTTCTAACCTACAAAGCTCTCAACAACCTAGCTCAATCTTACAAAGTACTTTGTATATTACAGATCTTATTGCTCCATATTTTCCTAACAGAGCACTTCACTCTCAGACTGCAGGTTTACTCGTGGGTCCTAGAGTTAAAAAAAAAAAAAAAAAAAAAACAGAATGGGAGGAAGATCTTTCAGTTATCAGGCTCCTCTCTTATTGAACCAACTTCCAGCTTTTGTCCGTGAGGCTGACACATTGTCCAGTTTTAAGACTGGGCTTAAGACTTTCCTTTTTGCTAAATCCTATAGTTAGGGTCGGCTTGGGTTTCCTGAGCTGTCCCTTAGTTATGCTGCTATAGGTTTAGACTGCTGGAGGACAAACTGACCACAATTTTTTCACTGCTTTTCTTTGCTTACTCTGCTCAACTTGTTTTGTATTTGTAATTATTTTTTCTATTTTGTCTTTCAGATACACCTGGACCTATACTTGGACCTACCATTCTGTGTTCGTCTGTCTCTCCTTCCTGTCCTCTCAACCAGCCGGTCAAAGCAGATGCTTGTCCTGAGCCTGGTTCTGCTGGAGGTTTCTTCCTTTTAAAAGGGAGTTTTTTCTTTCCACTGTTGCCACTGTGCTTGCTCAGGATGGGAGACTGCAACGAAGCCAAGATTCAACTTGTCTGCTGGATTCCTTAGATAGAGAACTTTACTAAATGGCTTTTCTATGTATGTGAATGTTCCTGTAAAGTGCCCTGAGACAACTTTGTTGTGGATTGGCGCTATATAAATAAACTGAACTGAATTGGTTCACTTTTGCACATGGTGCTGCAAAATACCTGATAGGAAAATGGTAAAACACATATAATCACCAGTAAATAAAAAATATTAAGTATTCATTAGATTTAACCAGTCAGGGACAAGCTTGGATGTTTGCAATACAGAGCTGTAAGAGAAACTAGTTTATATACAATTATTTCATTTAACATCCCTGGGGGGCGCGGTGAATAGAGGCTAGAGTAGCTGAGTTAGTGATCAGAAGGCTGCCGGTTCAAATCCCCTGTTACATCAAAAATTTGAGAGGAAATGGTGAAGCACCCACACCTGCCTCCACCCTCATTTGCCCCTCTCTGGACCCCATGGCCCTTAACCCCCATCTCCCACCATAATTAGTAGCCCTCTGCTCCACACGTGTGGGCAGAGGGCACACATTGGTGATCAGCGGGTAAAGATAATGGATGGATGGATGGATGGATGGATGGATGGATGGATGGATGGATGGATGGATGGATGGATGGATGGATGGATGGATGGATGGATGGATGACTGAAATGTAAATTATCCAAATGTTACAGGTGGTTTATCCTAAACATTAAAGCAGATACATGAGAAGGGAAAGAATTGATGCAAAGCAGCATAAGTTTGATGTGAAAGCCAGTGCTATACATGGCAATAAGATAAGATAAGAGAGAACTTTATTGATGCTGCAGGAAATTGTTATGCAGCCAACTTACAGCAAAAAGCACATCTATTTCATGTTTGGGGTCTCCGGGCAGCAAAAAGGGAACTGCATGAGTGAAGAAATGTTTAGGGAAACTTTAACAAAGCCGCTCCTCTCCTCCAGTCATTTCCCCATTCATTTAAAGCTCCATCATCAGCTCATCACTGCCCATTACCTGCACGCTACTGCAGGAAGGTATTATGGGTTTAATTCAATAAACATGGCCGATACAGAGATTTAAAAAATAGAAAGAAAGAAAAAGTGATCATTTTTGTTTGACTGGGAATGGTGTTCCAAATACATTAAATTCTCCTCACAGGGAAAAAAAAAAACTGAATCCACATCTGATTGTCTTGAACATCTCTGCCACTCTGTGGCCGAAATGAATTCATCTGCTTTAGTCTCAAAAACACATTTCTTTTTTCCCTTGTTTTTTTATTTAAATATTGCAAAATATTTGGAGAAAGATGAACACAAGCTTTTGCTCTGAGACTCTTATTCGAAATAATTAACACCAAACTCCAAATGTGTTATGATAAAATTAATGCTCAATTACATTTACAACAACTGTTTAACATCAAAACCCTGCGTGTTTAACATTGTGCAATTAAATGTGATTCAATAACTAAGTCACACACTTTGGTTCTGCCGGATCTCTGCTAATTACACTGGATGGAGCGGAGAGGAGGCAGCTTCAACAGAGAGAGCGCATCTTCCTTTGGTTTTCATTTACATGTTCCAGTCCCATTATTAATGAGTGCGGGACAGCAGACAGCGTGTCTTTGTGCAGCTGGTGTGTGTGTGTGTGTGTGTGTGTGTGTGTGTGTGTGTGTG